GAATGGATGCAACTGTTTGGTTTAACAGATACATTTATTAATCTGGTATCTGGAAACAGCTTCGCATGTCTCCGTAATAGATCTGCGGATAACACTTGCCTACTGATTTCAGAGACTTGAACCCCCCTTATATCTACTCTGGTTGTTCATTCTACGCTCTTGTATCTGCTATTAATAGAGTTGTAATGACTAGTCTGAATAGATTTTCATCTTGTTCTTACTTAGCCAGCTGTGAAAGGAAGCTATAGCTAGTTAGGCAAAATGAAACGAGCGTCTGTCGGAGACGGTGCCAGCCGGAAGTCCTTACCCGCATTCCTCCCATCGTCTTATGCAGAAACTTATCCTCCCTCACTCCCTTTTTGTTGCTGCATGCCTTGGTCCTCCCTTTTATCCATATTTGAGCTCCATTCAGTATAGTAACTGAAGTAATATTTACGCCGTATTTTGTGTTGTGCTATAAAGCCATATGCGAGTACCTACTCCAACTGTGTTCAAGTTGGGGAACTCTCAGGGTGGATCTAATTTGCCCTGTGAGACCTATGCCCAGAGGACATTGTAATTAAATACGTTTGTACCAGTTGCAGCAATTGGGTTCTATCAATTTCTTTTCCTAATAAAGCATCATGGAAAAACCTTTTTGGGCTAATCGCTTCTTGTTGTTTAATCCACTGTTGCTCCTAGACAAAGCCTACATTGTGAACAGTCTACATCTGAGGTGGTGACTCAATGTGTTTGGTTTGAACTGGCAGCATGCTATGAGCATGTCTTATTTTGGTTCATTCTTTCAATAATATATAATTCTTTCAATAATTGTATGTTTCTTCAATCAGTCTGCTTACTAAAAGGTTTAAGTTAATTTGGAACAAAGAGTAGCAAACTTTAAAAACCAAATGAGAAAGGATGAACGCGGTGTTTCACATCTGGCTTTCAGTGCAATCCTTTGAAAAGAAAATCCTTTCTCTTCTCTGTGGGACTTCAGTCGAGTCACCAGCTCTCCCCAACAGCGACTTTGTCCTATTAACTCTTTACACTCACAGCCACCCATTCTTCTTCCAGCACTTGACATCCACCTTTCAATCGAAGTGGAGTGTCTGAGCGCTTCTAGCCCCGACCATGCCAATGCAGCAAGGAGGAAAAGAGAAACCGTGTGATTAGAGAAATCCTTTATGTGAAAAAGAAATGGGAGGAAAATTGTGTTTTCCTGAATGTGGCTGGTTCCAGGTTTTCAATCAAAATCCCCCTTGGAAAAGCAGAGAGAAAATTCGCTAGGGGATTTGTCCTTTCCTTGCCAAAGTTGTTGTAGGTAGAAGGGATCCAATTCTTCTTTGTTGGTAGGAGGCAGCTACTACAACCATCATTTGTTTCTAGATCGACAACCCGGTTTACTTCCTCGTGGTGTAAGTTGATTTTTGTAGAGCATTAACTCAAGCTCACAGCTGAAATGAGACCCTGTACCGTACCTGGCTTGTGACACAGATGGAAATAGCCCTCAATGCATAATGCATAATTAATAATAACATGTTCTCATTTTTAGTCACCTGCAACAAAGAACTGCAAGCCCCAGGGTCTGTTTTACACTGAGAAAAGTACCGATTTCATGGAGCTAGGCGAGGTGTCAGTATGACTATAACTCTTACCAATACGCCTTTACAAGCAACGATAAGAATAACTCGGGAGCTCACTTCTGCCAAAATTTGTGATCTGCAGCTATAGGGTGGTTCATTCCCAAGAAGAATGACTCCCCGAGAGGTGGTTTTTCTTTATCTTTAAATTCTAATAATTGTAGCTAAAAAAAAAGAAGGGTAAGTGGGTATTAGACTCTGCACATTATTTCATCTCTTCCTTGCTCTTTCCTGCAGCGAAAGTCCTTCTGCTCTGGACTCTTTTTAGAAATTTCTGAGTTATTTTAGTTTCCTTAATGCAGAAGTTTGCACTTGGAAGGAGTTGATCCTGCAGTATGACTATTAATGTCCAATTAAATTTGATATACTGTGAAAATGGCTTCACACTTTGACCAGGGGCATAAAGATGGATTGCTTCAACTGTAACAGGGCTGTGACTGAGCAAATCAAATTGACCTAATGGTGGCAGCATAACATAAGAAATAAAATAAGAAAGGATGACAGGTACCTCTTCAGTACAGTTTTTAGGCTGAGTCATCACTGCCAAAGAGATGTCCTTGTTCTTTGGGGGTGGGGTTGCCTTTAAAACCAAAGCATGGCACTTATCTTGCTGTAAATTTGGAAAGAAAAAAACATTTTATTTTTTACTGTCAAGCAACCAGGCAAGGACAGCACTTTGCACGAGATGGACCTTGTCTGACGGCCATCCAGTTAAGAGCCTCTGCTAGGACTTCAGAGAGGGAAAGGTAACATGCATTAGGGATCTTGTGTTAAAAATAGATGTTTTCTTAGACATGAAGGCAAAACAGAATTTAGTGTCTGAAAGTCACAAGGTGGAGTTACTGCAGATGAATAGAGGCATAATTGTATAGCTATAAAATGACTGCCTTTAACAAGTAAGCTCTTTTCTAGCTTAGAAAAAAAATAAAATCCCATCCTGTCGAATTTTGTGGGAGTTTTGTATGTTCTGATAGTTTCCTGATTATACATCATTGCACCTTTTCTAATTTTCTCACCTGGGGCTAGGCCTACATGTTCTTGCATTTGTCCAAAACACGACGCATCAGACCCCGTGTGCCCACGGAGGCCATGCAATTGAAATAACAAGATGCTGAACATTTGCAGTGGTGAGTAGCATTATCACTGCTTGTGAAGCACTTTCCTTCTCATGAGAACAGCAGAAAGAAAAAAACTTCATCAAGTTTGTCAAATACAACGATTTACTGGTGGGAGCTTGCAACACCTGGGAGCAGTCTGAAGAGAGAGAAGTATTCAGCACAGAGAGAGTTAAACATCAGTGGTTTGAAAGGGTTTCAGCCGGAGCATCTTCTGCTGCTTTTCTGTGACTCTGTAAGGGGATGTGTATCCATTGCTCTTATCTTAGTGAAGCAGCTGGGCTACTGCTACCATAAATCAGGAACAAAACTAAGGGATGATGATGGGGAAGACTTATGGCAGGGCAGCAGCAGTGCCTGGCGAGATGGGGAGTGGACCGGGTTAAAACGAAGCGCTTGGACTTCCTGCGGGAGGGAGAGATGGGGGACATGAAGCCTGCAGCGCGGCAGCGACTGGAAGGAAAGGGCAGAGCTGATACCCGCCAGGCAAATCCTTCTCCAGGGGTTGGGAAACCCCCTGGCTCAGCATGGAGCAGGTGGGAGGTAAGCATGGGGCTGGTGGGAGGTAAGCATGGGGCTGGTGGGAGGTAAGCATGGGGCTGGGGTGGAAGCGCTGGCATCAGGGTGTTATATGACGCCCTGGACCCTGCAGCTGGCTGAGCACGCTGAGAAGCGATGCCAGCCCGTGAAAGCCACTGGGCCAGGGTAGGTCAAAGCCACAGGGAGCCACTTGCACACAACAGCCTCTCAAATGTGAGCCTTGCGATGCCTTTGTCAGTGCCATGGCCTTGCCCAGACCTGATTGCAATGTCACCGAAGCCTCTGCAGAGTCCCTGGGGCTTTCTGCTCACCAGCACAGGGAACACAATGCAGGACAACAGGATAGTTGTTGCGATGCAGAGTTTGCTAGCGCACGGTAATGAGGCATCTTTCAGCGCAGTCATTATGGGTGGGATTTTTAGGCATTCCTCTTGATCACCTTTTTGATCCTGATCACCTGGCTTTGGCAAATGGGTGATGGTGCAGGCGAGACAGCCGAACCTGCCGTAGGAACTGGGTTGCTTAAATAGGCATGCACAGCCTAGTTTGGCTCCCTCACTGCCCGGTTCACCAGCGTAGCCCCACCGATACCACTGGGCTTCCTCTTGCTTTAGAGCAGCCCAAACAAGGCGAGGTCTGAAACATACAGAGTAGTTTCTGAATGAGTCACCACGGAAGAAAAGAGTGGGGGTGAGCAACTGAGACCTCCCTCCAAGACTACGAAGGTGGTTTCAGACCAGTTGTCCGCTTCCCACCCCTGCGTGGGGCAATGCAACAAGCTCACTGTGTTTGTGGTAGACTAACGCTCATTGCCCGGCTGGGTTCTCCAAGCAGCTCTTGGTTTCGGGGACTGCTGGTACATTGCGCCTTCGGTCCCCGGTGCCGGCCATGAGGGTGAGGGGCTGCGGACAGCCAGCCTGGAGGAAGCCCAGGGGACTCACACCTCCCCCCTCCATCCCTTCTGTGGGGAGATCTCACCTCAGGGTGCCCCCCCTCCATCAGCAGCTGCTTCTTGAGAAACATCATTACATTTCCCCTCTCTCTTGGTCTTGGAGACAATTAAAACAGCACAACATTTACCTGAACACGGATGTAGCCACATCAGAGGGCAAAGGAGTATTTTTGCTAACTAATGATGAAAACATGTGCTAACGTCTCTGCTTGCTGTGGGACTAGCTGCACGCTCTTAGATGCCTGTTCAGATATTGGTGGGCAGCCAAGCAAGGACTGTTTGTGGTGCCATCTCCCAGAGCTGGGATCAGTGCACTCCAGCACTTTGTGCACCTGCATTTTGCTGTGCATAGGTCTCGGTCTTCCTCGCCCTTTAGGAAGGCTTAGGAAAAGAAAATAGAAAAACCCCCCACAAAACCCAAAGATCAGATTAGGGATGCTCAGTGGGCCATTTCTACAGTAACTGCCTGTGAAATGTCTCACTTGCCACATCTGACAATGCCTACACAACTGCAAAAAGCTGAAAGCCTCCCCACAAAAACCAACCTGGGACAAAAAGTGGACATCCAGCGGTTCCCAGGCCACCCGTCTCGCAGGAGCCAGGCACAGTGTCACTGCAGCAGTGAGGGCAGGAGCTGCCAGCAGCAGATGGCTGATCGTCACAGGCATCGCCACGGAGAGGTGGTGTCCCGCAGGGAGAATTTGTGCTGGGATGTACCCCCATGGCACTGATGTATGGTTGCAGCCTGGCTATACAGGTTTCCCCTGTTACCTGCAGCACCTTTCCCACCACGTCCTTTCCCCTTTCATTTAGAAATCGTCGGTCATTGGTTTGCTGTGTGGTGGATGTACCAGACCCCGCAACAGGAACAGCCCCTCCCAAACACTGCGTTTCCCACTCCCTTTCTGAGACTTCGAGCAGCCCTGTGAAGAGTGTAAAAGAGATGCCACAGCCGTGAGCATCCTGCAGCCCCCAGATCTGCACCCATAAAAGCACTGCCGCTGCCTCTTGCGGCATTGTGCGCCCTACCTCCTGCAACCACCTGAACTGTTCCCTGACATATTCCAGCCTCTGCAACAGTGACAAAATAGCACAGTGACAGTGGTAGGCAGAGCATGGTCACTGTGTGAAACCCGCCTCTCACTCAGCAGCCTTTGCTCTTCAGAAATGCTGCCCTTCCCTTCACCAGAGATCTGCACTCAGCTTTGCCTGAGTCCGACCCTTAACATCAGCCACGTCTCCGGCAAGGAGCACTTCTTACCATATTTCTAGCAATCTTAATTTTTTTCAGGAGTATCATTTCCGCCTCTTAAATAAGACAAAAGTGTTCAGCATTAACTGGATCAATCTATGACTTGCATTTCCCCTTGGACTTGCCATTGGCTTACAGGGACTTACGTACCCATCAGTGCTTTCAGGCCCTGCAGGTCCCCGGTGCGTTACAGGAGAACTTTTTGTCAAAACATCTAGGAATCATCCCTGTCCGAGCAATGGCATTGCATGGGCTGAACTGGGGGTCTCAAACAGAACAGCAAGATTTCCTACATCCCTAAGCTCATCAGCCAGAAAATCAAATGTTGGGGCATTTGCATATCATTATTGCTTACCTATTTTATCTACTTAGCCTAATTAGCTAACTAGGCTCATTTAATCCTCAGCATTCACTAATCCAAACTAGAGATGGGCCTGAACCAGAACCTGGGTTCCAATTAGGAGATAACAAGCTCTTGGCAGCCTGCTGCCGCCAGCAGTCTCTGCAGTTGATCATGGTATGTGGGAGCGCAGGAGTCCCTGCAAAACAGCATTGAAACAGGGGACCCATACCACCTCTGCCTTCAAGCTCTCCAGACAGCTAAGAAGCAGATCAGGACCTAAATGTGTTGTTTGCTTTGCAATGGTCTGCATATACCCCGTGTGCCGTACCCCCCAAAATGAGGGGGAGTTGTTTTTTGCACCTATCTGTATCGGTTGCACCAAACCCTCTGTAGTGGCCAGAGGAGCCCCCGGGTGTTAAAGCTCTTGTGTCTCATCATCCTTTCAGCTGCTTCTTGTCCCCTTGGCTCATTCTGAGCATGGCATGGTGACAAACCCACATACACGCTTCAGTCACTATTCACAAGTACCTGTAGCAATAAATTATGCACAGATGAAGAAGTACGCTTGTTCTGCGACAGCTGCGGTCACCCAAATGGGCCTTAGGACCTGTTTCTGAGTTGGCCATTGAAATGAGACTGCTTGTATCTGCTCTGCTCCTGTGTCCGCAAGAGAGGGACAGTGGCATGCAGGGAGCCTGCAGGCCCTTCGGCATGTCCCCAGGAAAACCAGACCCAAGAGTCCAGCATTGCTTGCACAAAAGCTGCAGAGCTGAAGGACAGGGTATTAACAGTCTCCTCCGGATCACGCACCATTGGCATGGTTTCTCTCAGCAAAGGGTTGCACTGAGAAACCTGATCAGCACTTGCCTCTGGTATTGTTTTCAAAGACCCATGTCTTCCACCCGGGACCATACCTGGCCTCTATCTCCCCATATAGTAGGGAAGGTTTTTACCTTCTGCAGTGCTGGTGCCATTGGTGAGATGCGCTGCTTTCCCCCACAGGGAGGCAAAGGGCTCCTGGTAAATTGAGCGGGCAGGAGGCTCCGTGTGGGGCTCCTACAGCCTTTCCTAACCCCATTTTTCTTTCCCCAGCCAGGGATCTCTGCCCTCCCCCCCAAGATGTGGTTGCTCAAGTTGCCAGCTCCTCTCACTGGAAGCTAATAGCTAGCATACTGAACAAAGAAAATCCAATTTGGCATCAAAAAGCAAACAGCCCAATTCTGGTCTCTCATCTTTTTTTCCTGCTGGTGCAGTACATCAGGCTTTTCACTGATTTATACCTTGGATGCAAGAAGAGTTTCAGACCCAAGGTTATCCTCCTGTCAGGTGTGGATGTTGGCAATGTGTCCTCACTGTAACATGGGATGAAAGGGTTTATAACCAGGGACATTCACAAAAGGAGCGTTCACATCTGTACAGCGATGCTGCGGTTGGCGGTGGGCAGTGGTGGGCCAAGGACCCGGCTGCCCCGGGGAATGAGGCTCCTTTTGGCAAACCCCCTTGATGAATTGCTCATAAAAGCCTGATGCCGCCTTACGATTTTTATTTTTCTTCTTTTCTTCAAGAGGACTGCTAGAAAATTAAATGACTAGTTTCCTTTGCTGTAGCAGAGCTTAAAGGGGATATTAACTCGGGAGCTGGTCCGCTGGTCGCTGACCACCGCTGGTTGGCGGTGCCTTTTCTGCCAGCTTCAGTGCCTGCTGGAACTGGCTCTCTATCAAAGGCAACTTCAATTTTCTGTGCCTGTGTGAGCCTCTCCTCCCATTTCTCTTCAGGGAATAGCTTCGGGAGGCTTTAGAGCTCAGATGAAATATTTCCTGTAGCTGGTCCTCAGCTTCTTTTTCTCCTTGCCTCATGACTGCTCCTTTCTTTTATAGTCAGCAGCTGTAATCACCGCTGGCCTCCTTCTGCTGTACATCCCACTGTGTTACGAGGACTTCCATTTCCACGTGGCTCACATGTACGCTCACCTGGGCTACCCCAACGCCCAGCACATCGTGGGACAGAGGTATTTGCAAGGTAGTGTTTCTCAAAGCGGTGGCTAACTTGCTTCCAGAGTACATACAGGTATAAGCCATAAACACAAACATGGCTCGACGCTATGTGGTACAACCACTGCACTGATGGATTTTGGACACCGTATTTTATATCCTAACTATTACTTTGCTACCTTGTCTCACACCCAGGAGCCGGAGTGGAAAAAAATGAGCACATGGCCATGCACTGGTTCAGGTGAGGTGCAAAAAAACCCCAACTCTTGCCATGGCAAATTGCCCTCTCCTGGGGAAAGGCTACCGTGGCGTGGGAGGAGGAAAAAGAGCCGGCAGTGCTTTGGGGGGAGAGCCATGCTGAGCCATCCTGCGCCGGTGGGAGGGAGGTGCACAGGGCGGCAGCAGGGAGACCAGGAGCTCCCAACTTCCTGCTGTCGGTCGGATGCTTCGCTCCGCTTTCCCCACCTGCTATTGCTATTTTTTAAATCAGTGGGAGGCAAGTAAGTATCTCAACAGTGAGAGTGCAGAGGGGTGCCGGCGCTGCTGTACAGCCTTTTGGGGAGGTTCGAGCTGCAGGTGGGCAGCGGGAAAAATGCACAGGCACAGGAGGGGAGAGGGCCAGGAGCTGCTGAGGCAACAGAAAATCAAGTTACGGCAGTGTATTAATTTCCTGCTCTCGGCACATGCTCCCAAGAGGTTTCTGCCACGTAAGCGAGGCAGCCGTGCCTGGCATGCACATTTGCTGCGGTACCTGCCATGGTTACACCCGCAGCGGGAGCCTGGGCTGCATCCCCCGAAACCCTCCCGCTCCTGCTGAGAAACGGGAAGGATGAGGGACAGGGAAAGTTACTGTGCTACCCAAAAAGTGGGGAGAGAGGGGGGACATGTTGGATGTTTCCTCTGTGTTTGCTCAAGGCGTAGAACAGCATCAAGCTGCAGGATTTTTAGGGCTGAAATAACTCTGCCTGTGACAGCAGGGGTTGTGAACCAGGGAGGCATCTTTAAGGACATCTGTACTTAGAGAAATGCTGAAGCCTTGGCACCTTTCTGAATAAGGATGTTTCCCAAATCAGGGCCTGAAAATTTTAAAGGGGTCACATTTCAGGACGCTGATTTATACATACCTTTTTCCTTCTTTGCTCTTACCTCGCTTTAAAAACATTCAAACTCAGGTTTTCTTCTTCTCTTACCACTTTGCTTCTCTCTTCCCCCCTGTAGGCAGGCTGCGGGGCAGGGCCATCCCCACTCCTCCTTCAACCTGGCGGTGGGGGCTCTCAGAAACATGACTGTAGCACTCGAAGAAGGGTAACCTGAGCTATTCCTCTTCCTTTCCCTTACAGCTGCATTCCCATCTCCTCCTGGGGAGGGAGGGAACCCGGTGCTGTAGATACTCCACGCATGCAGCTACTCCAGCATTTCTAATGCCCTCTCCTTGTATTGTCAATAACACTGCCCTACCTGTGGCAAGAAAACTGAAAAACCCAATTAGCCCAATGAGGTTTTAAAAATTAGGTGACACAGTACCCAAAATGCCTGTGGTCTGATTACATATGTAATTCCATCGGTGATTTCCCAGTCAAGGCAAGGGATAAGACCCATACTGGTACAGAAGGAGCTATTGAAGCGACATGCAAGTTTTCTGCTAGAAAGAGCTGTCTGTCTTTCTGGGGGAGCCCCCTTTTCACTCTCCTTCCCGTCCAGTGAGGTCAATGAGAAGTTTCCTGTTGATCGCCCAGAGGTTGGGTTGAAACTGTCTGGGACACGTTTCTCTCCCCGACGTGCCTGCGGACACCGCACACCAGCATTCCCAGCAAGGCCCACAGCCAAAGAAAACTTGCCTTGTGCTTTGTACATTTGCTGTGGTGACTCATCCTGGGGATAAGTGAAGCTAAAACAACCAATGAGTTCCCATCACAGTGAAACCCAGTCCTTTTTTTTTGGTATTGTTTCGCTTTGAGTTTTTTTACATTTACTCCAAGTCTGAAAATTAAATTTGAGGTTGGAGAGAGCAGTCTTAAGCTAACTGAAACTTAAAAAGCGATGTTTGGGCAAATCCTGTGAGTTGAAGCCAGCGCGTTTTTGTTTCAGTCTCCGCTGCATGTCACGTGATCAGGCAGAGTCACGTATTGAGTGGTAAAAGGAGTATGTATCTCAAGAGCTCCAAATCCATCTCTACTTCAATTCAACTAAGACGAGAAAATCACTGAACCCAAAACATGCATGCTCAGACCACAGGGAAAAGCAGAAAGAAAATCAGATCATTTTCTGAATAGCAGAGAGTTAACTTTACAGATACTTTCGGATCCAGTAGCTGTGGTCCTCTTATAAAAGCCTGGGTAAATAAAATTTAGCTAGGAATGAATCAAACCTCCTCCTAGATTTTCTTGATGACGGTTTCATGTCCTTCAGGGAAGTGGAGAAACTCCTCAGT